CCATGCCTTGGAAACCTCCAAAGTTGATTCCCTTTGACATGCAAGTCTTTGTCCTGGGTTTCACCCTTATAAGATTGGAACCATGCAATATTTGTCCTTTTATGATTGATTGACTAACGCCACTCAACATAATGATTTCCAAGTCCAGCCATGTCATGAGGTGTTCTGTGGTCTCATCGTCATTTTTCAGGAAGTAGCACCATGTTGCTTTCTACAATGGTTTTACATATTTACAGACCCACCAAAAGAGTATAAGAGTTCTAATCTCTCTGCACCCTCTTCAGCATTTGTTGTTTCATGTTTTGTTTTGTTTAATGGACTGTCAACAGTGTACGGTGATATCTCATCACTGTTTTGATTTGCTTTCAGATAGCTAATGACTTGAGCATTTTGTCACGTTTGTTAGCCATTTTTGATGTCATTTTGGTGAACTGTTTGGCAATTTTTGAAGTGAATTATTCATTTTCTTTCTTATTGAGATCTTGCAGTGTCTATAGATTTTAGAGACTAGTCCCTTGTCAGCTGTGTCATTGCCAAAGTGTTTTTTTTTTAATAGAGCTTACCACTCAATCCAGAATCACTGTGTGAAAAGTGCAGGAAACCACAACTCTCAACATGTAAATGTCAGTGACTGAGCTCCTCCCAGTTTAAAAGACCTGGCAAAGATACTGTTTTCTCTTTCACTCAAGCAAGTAACCATAAACTTGCAGCCACTGGCTTTTTGGAGTCCCTGCGTGGTGCATCTGGTTAATGCAGTCACTGCTAACTGAAAGACTGGAAGTTCAAACCCACCCAGCAAAACCTCGGAAGAAAGGATTGGGGGTCGACATCTGAAAACTTGGTCATCGGAACTTTATAAAGCACAGCTACGCAGGCACACAGGGACTTTCCAGGAGTCAGAGGCAACGTGAAGGCTCCCAGTTGAGAGTGTTTTCCTGGAAACAAAATAAGGAGACTATAGTTTCCAGAGTGGGCCCCAATTGGTGGGCCCTTTATGGCACGTGTCGTATATGGTCAAGCATAGAACTTTTCTTCTCCCAGCACATCTTTCTTCAGAGAGAAGTGGAAACAAGCAACGTTCTGAAGCAACAAAGAAGCAGTTCTTTCTCAAAGGGTCTACTTTGCCTCCCTGCTTTCTGATAAACAGGACCCAGCCTTGTCCCTTACGAATTTATATCAGATGTCAATTGCTAATGCTCTACCTAGCATGGAGGACAAGTAGATGGTGTTCTAAGCACCACTGAATGTGGACCTCAGAATTTCCTTCTATCCTATCAGGATTAAATGACAGACATTGTGATCCTGAGTAGGCAAGAAGAGTCATCTACCTTGGACTACCATGACTGATGACATGGAATATATATATGTTGAGCCACAGATATGAAGATGGATTATCAGATATAAATATTCCAAAGCCAGGTAAGAAAACCGCTGTCCTTCAAACCTTTCTGAGAGGAAACCTGTGCAAAAGTGTGTCCCTGACACACTGGGTGATTCACTGTGTTACAATGTGAAGGGAACCTCCCCAAGTAGTCTAGTCAATTGCATCAGATGAAAAGCAAAACTAGTGCTTATTGAATTTTTAGACATGAGGAAAATTGATAAGCCTATAACTGTTTTCAAAATAATTTATCAATGTATGTTGCCTTGAGAGTGTCTCTCTCCTCTGATAGCAGTTTAGAACTTGTTCAGAGAATCTGACTTTGCTGAGAGTCAAATGGGAAGCAACTTCAGTGATGAGTTGGTGGAATATGCTGCCTGAAAGTTCTATTTTGATTAAAGCCAGGAATCTCTCTGAGTATTTTACAGACACTTTGTCTTTCCTCAATCCATCTTATTGATGCCCATCGCGAGCACATTGTAGAATGGCAGATCACGGCAAAGTGTCGCTGATTGATGGTTCTGAACTATCCTTTGCCTTCAAACAGCAAACCACACGCATCTAAAGAAACTCAACTCTCGCTCGATAAATTGCATCCAATATCACAGTCCCTCATTCGTTTGTGATCAATAAAATAATAGTTCTTGTCACAATGACTCTTAAGATAATGATCTTTAAGAGTAGGAAAGGCTGTTTTCCTTATGAATTGTTTTTAAACTGATTTATCAATGTGCATTGTATTAAGAGTCTCCCTCTCTCTCTCAATTTCTCTGTCATCTCTCTCTCTTCTAGTAACTGACGCTTGAGCAGCCATTCAGTTACACTCTCTACATCAGATCCCATTCCTTAGTTAGGAACAGATAAGCCTCATCTTTTTCCTTCCTATTTCCCCTACTTTGCCCGCAAGTCTTTTACATTTGAAAAAGTTTCTCCTCCAAAGAACTAGAAGAAGTCTGATAGTTTTTGTGCTCTTGATTTAAAGATTCTAGAAAAGTACAGAATTAACAACAACAAAAAAAACCCGTGCATGGGTGGTTAACTTTTAAAATATACATATTTAAAACACATGAACGAGAATTCTAGGACGCAATGTCGGGTTTTACTTTTTTCAACATAGGTATGGTTTTATGCTTTGTGAAGACTATAAAATTAATGATGTATTCATGTGATTCTAATAATCAAATAATCTACAATATACAGAAGTGTAGAAAGAGAAAAATGATCATTGCATCTCCTCCCACCACAACACACCCCTGTAATCCTAGGGTAGAAGTACTGAAAACAAGTTGTTGTGTATCCTTCAGGAATTAGCATGTATTTATAGATATGTGTATATATGACTCATAGGTGTCCAATTTTAATGGGATCATGGGATCACATTACACATACCATTTAGTCGCCTGATTTTTCACAAACACTTTCCATGTAATTTTATGGAGACCTACATCATCATATGATTGAATTTTGCCATATAATTCTGTCATTATAATTTAACCAAGCCTCTATGGGTGAAGAAGGAGCCTTGATGGTATGTGTAACCATAAGATTGGTAGTTCAAATCCACCAGCAGCTCTGAGAGAGAAAGATGAGGTTTTCTGCTCCCATAAAGATTTACAGCCTTGGAAATCCAAACGCAGAGTTCTACTCTGTCCTATGTGGTTGTGATGAGTTTGGATTGACTCGGTAGCAGTAGGTTTGGTTTGGGATGATAATTGATATTGCTTGTATCACTCCAGAAGAAGCCACTTTCTATCCCTTGTTAGTTTCCATGTTGGCTAGGTCCTCCTTGGTCACTTGTTTTGCATACGTAATTTCCACTTATCAATTTCTCTCTTGTCTTTAACTCGTTTGACTCCTCTCTTTCCTCATCTTTAGTTTTTGCTATTCAAGGTAGTTGTTAAGTTCCTAATGGCAAAATACAAGAAATGTTTCCAATCTTCCAAAATTTTTCCAAATGTATAGTTAACAATTTCTCTTATAAAATGTATTATTACAATATTCAGTACTATAATTTATCAGTGATGATTTATTACTCATTTCTAATTATTCTTTTTTTTCAACTCTATTCATTCTTTAAATGTTTGTTGAGCACTGTATTGAGCTTCCCAAATACATGACAAACAGAACATCAAGTGTTCCGCAATGTAGTAGAGTAGAAAAAATCTGACAGCACATAAGAGCAAGTAGATGTTGTGGGCTCAATGGCCTGCCTCTCTACTCTACAAGTCTGAGCACTGGTTGGGGATAATACAAGAGATGACCCAAAAGTTGAGTCTTGGAAGGAAATTAGTTGTTTATAAGTTCAATGAGGTGCTCATGTTTTCAAATATAAGGAGTATTTTGTAAAAACTGGAGACCACAGAAAAACTTAAGGAATTTAGTGTGGGGGGAGCAATGTATGCGGAAGGTGGAAATGGGAAATTAAGAAGGAAACATGTTACTAAATGAAGTCTTACAAAAGCACAATGAAGTATTAGGTGTCCTTGATGGAGTTGCTATGGAAACACCATGACATATCATGATTCTTTGGCAACTCAAAGACAGCATAGACGTGGATCAACTGAGAGAGATGGGGTAGATGTTCCCTCTGATCTCTCCTGTCCCCTGCCAACAATTGTTTGGTCCAATAAATCTCTTTCTCCACTCCATTCATCTTTTCATTTGTTCCGGGTCATCAGTAGCTTATTTCTGAGACATGTTTCACGATAACATATGTGCTTTGATGCACATTTAATCTGCCTCTTTTTCTTTTTTTTGGAAACACCATCATAGTGAAGCACAGATTCAAATAGGAAGATATCGATATCATTATTTTCAACTGAATCTTAAAAGGGTTTCACAATTACATTGAGTGAGGTTTAACCTTTGCAAAAGACTCTTTCCTTTCAGACAGTAGGAAGACGTGGTGATTTTTTTAAATTTCTTTGTTTGTTTGTTTGTTTGGGATATTTTGTATTCGGTGTACTTTCCAAAAAAAAGAAGAAAAGAGAAAGGAGGGGGAAGCAAGCCAGCTGCGGTGAATTGATAACAAAAAATACCATCGGGTCATAGACATAAATATACTGTCCGCAAAGATTTTAGATTTCACCGAAGAAAACAACACTTTGCCTCTTCAGAGATGGCTCCACACTCCCCCATTTGTTTGCCTGCTTGAAAGGGGAATTGGTTCAGCAGCTGGTTGAGGGCCCTGTTCCCCTTCAGGGAGAAGAGTTTTTGTACACTCCGACAATGAAGAGCTATCACTGTGGTGGACGTTCGGCAGTGGGACCAAGCTGGAAATCAGTCGTAAGTAAAATCTAAACTCTCCTTCGTCTATTGTCTGTGTCTTCTGGTCTCTGTGACTATGATCTGATCCATAAGCTGATTGCTCAAAACTAAACAGACCTCCTCCAAGATAAAGACAAAGCCCGGAGGCAAACTGGAGACTGGTTTGCACACCTTCTATGAAGAACAGGATTCACTTAGTGGGTGTGAATGCCTTTTCTAAGTGGTAGCTTCAGAAATGCACAGGGGAGCGTACTAGTATCTTTCGGGCAAGCCTTGCTCACCTGTCAGAAAGAGAAGCTCAGTTTTTGTATAAGAAAGAAGCTAAAAGGAAGTAATGTGTATATACTTTCAGCTCTGGCACCAAGTTGGAGATCAAACGTAAGTATTCTTTTCAGTTGATTCTTAAGTGTGTCTGTCTATGTGGCTTGATTTGTGTTTCTTTCTGTGAGTTTTCAATAGTTAGATGCCAGGGATGTAACAGATTCCATCCCAAGATTAAGTACAGAGAAAGAAATCCGATGGCTAATTTTTAAAATGTCCTAGTAAAAATAATTGAACTGGAGAAGGGGGCTGGCTGTTCACCTCAGGAAAGGTTTTTGTAGAGGGGCAGGTTAAGAGAAATCACTGTGCATTACTTTCGGCCAGGGGACCAAGATGGAAATCAAACGTAAGTACATTTTTGCTCTTTTACTTGTGAAATGTTGCTGCTTTGTATCATTTGTGTGAATTTGTGCCATTTCAGTTAAATGTACCATTTCTGGTGACCCATAAGGGCAAAAAAAACTGCCAAGTTCAAAGCTGAGCAAAGAGATAGTATATGGATTTGATGAGGAGAATAAGGGGGGAAAGCTGGGCTCTTCTCTGGGTTAGCCGATAGAGTATGGTTAGAATCAAAAGAAGGTTTGGGCTGTGGAGTGAAGTAGGAGAGACAGTTTTCACTGTAGTTCATGCTTAGCTCAAAGCTGGAGATCAAAAGTAAATGCTCTTTTCTAACATTTTTCTTGAGATTTGTGAAGTTTGGGATCTTTCATGGTTGGGGTGTGCTGAGTTGAGATCAATTCTGAAGAAAATGGGATCCTCCGAAAATCAATTTGTCTCCAGGAAAAGTAAAGAGCTAGTCTCGAGGGCCAGGTGTCCTCTCGGTCAGTCTAGTAAGGTTAGCCGCAAAAACGGGTTTTGTTGCAGGGAAAATGATCCCCCAATACTGTAGCTCATCCTTAGCAAAGGGACCTATTGAGAGACTTAACAAAAGCAATGATTTTTCTATTGCTTTCTGAATCATGCGTCTAATTGTGAGTATTAGGGGTTTAAGTAGGTTTGGCTGGGAAGAGATGAGGCTTGCTGGTCCCATCATGTTTTACAGCCTCGAAAACCTTGCGGGTCGTTTCTCCTCAGTCCATAGGGCCACTCTGAGTAGGAGTGGACTCAGTGGCAGTGAGCTTGGGAGGCAGGTTTGGGAGAAATGCATACTTGAAAGTATTTCAGATGTAACCTCCATTTCCAGAGTTATCAGATGTAGAGACAAAAAGCTTAAATTGGACTCAATCAAGTGGCTCAAAGGAAAGAAAAATAATGTCGATAAGGAATCCTTAGGTTTCTGAGGCACAAAAGTAAATTCATCTTTGTTGAGTTTTATCAAATATCTTACTGAGTTTTGCTCAGTATAGATGATAAGAAAAGTAGAAAAATGTATTTCTCAGTCTTTGTTTTCTCCTATATTATAAACTCATTTGTGAGATAACTTTAAAAACTAATAGTATGCAGTAAAGAGCCATAGAAAAATGTTAGAGAAATGTTAACTCTTTACCATGTAGAAAAATACCAAACTCACTGCCAGTGATTCGGTTCTGATTCATGGCAACACTTTAGAACAGGGTAGAACTGCCCCTGTGAGTTTTTGAGATTGTAACTCTTTACAGGAGGAGGAAACCTCCTCTTTCCCTACTGCCTTGTAGAAGATGAGATTTAATTGAGAATTAGCAGCAATGTCATTTTTGCAATCTAATATGAGAGATTAGATCAATGTAGAATGTCCATAAAATAGATTCGATAGATATATGATATTGACAAATTATCTTTTTTTCTTGATTTCAAATACATTAATCTTAGCTTGAGATTATCTTTCTGTCTTTAGTGATAAACTGTTTCTTGAAATGATTTCGTATGGCTTAAAAAAAAAACCAAACTATTGTCCCCAAAGCCCACTTTGAAAGAAAGGCTTAAAAGAAAGAAAAAGAAAATAATGTCATTTTTTTAATGTCCTTGGACTTGTGGCAAAGTGGGAAAGCTCTAAGGAGTTGACGTCCCCTCCCTGTCCGTTATTATTGCTATAATTGGCCATGATTTTATACGCAAAGAGGCCGTGGCTCAGCTAACGTGGTCTGTAGACTTCTTGGCGGACTTAACTAACCCCTAACTAACAGGCCCGCCACAGCGCTCCCGCCACTGGGCGACCTGGCCGCCAGGACCGCAGCAACTGATCTCTTGTACCATTAACTCCGCCCGGCGGTCTTCCTTTCTGGTGCACAGTGATACAAACAATGTCACTAACAAGAAGGGAGTAGAATGAAGGTGGGTACTGAACTTGCATGGGGGCAAAAATAAATAAAAGACCCATTTATTAGAACATTCAAAAAGAAAATTCATTTTTATCAGAATATCCTCTTAATTACATGTTTTATTGTTGTTATGGTACCTGATGGTTATTTACCCAGGTATAAAAACCTGAAAACTATTTTTTCCAGTGATATATAATGATTTCATATCCTCATCAAACTTATTTAAATAATAAAAGAATAATAAGAAATAAAGATATATACAACTCTTGTAGGGTGACATCCACATCAGCAAACAAAAAATCCGATTTAATGTCAGCCATTTACCTTATCATTTGGACTGGAGCAGTAAACTTTTTAAAAAATTGGATTTACATTAAATATCAAGATGATATAATAACTGGGGTGACATGCAGAGTTAAATTTGTGCCATGTTCTCAATTTTTCACACATTTAACTGCTTTGGTAAGATTATAGTATTTCCTTTCTCATCATATATAAATGTGCTTACTAAAAACTTAATATGAGCATGTTCTAAAATTTTAATCCTGTAATTTTATAAAAATGTTTGATCTGATAATTTTAATCCCCTCATCTCTAATCTAATTTAATAATGTGGGGTTGTTCTTTACTCTAGCTTATTTCAAAACTGATACATAGGAAGGATTATTCTGGCTTGGCACAACTGGACATGAATATTTTAGGGCCCTTAAAATGCTATTGAAATGCAATCATATTTATTAAAATAATTTCCCTGAATATGTGCTAATGATGTACTATTTAATGTGGGTGGATGACATAAGGCTATCAAGAAATCACGCGGACAGGGCTGTCTTCCTAGAATGGTTTCCTGGTTCTTAATGTCTAAAGATTGCAGTTTGCTATTTTTATGCAATTCTCTGAAAATAACTTGTTAGATTTGATATTTTCTTCTCTCTTAATGCTCATAAGAAGTTCAATGATCTTATGTTGAACTGCTTGGTTAACAAGGAGGCTAGTTTTATAATAACCTGTACTCTTATCTGTTCCCTTCTCTGATCAAAGGACTCTAAATGTGCTATTTTATTATTAAATAAGAGTACATTGACTAGGCCTGTCCCACAGAAGGCTTGAATCCCCACAGACGGGATTTCCTGGGGGCCACCTGGCAGCTGCTCAAGGTCAGAACTGAAGCTAGCCAGTTCCTCCTAAGCAGGTGGCCAAGATTACAGTTGACCGCAGGTCATCACACCACTCCTGGTCTGGCTGGAAAATTGTCCCCAAATGGTTACAGATCATCGGACTAAGCAGCTTTCACTTTGAGGCCATGGTGAGGGTTGGGAGAACTGTTGGCATGTTCACGGCATAGGCTCAGAGCTGGGGCTCGCTCTGCAGAGTGGATCCTCCCCCAAACCAAGGCAAGGAGAGGGAAGAATGGGAAGGTGGTCAGTAGAATATCAGTGGGCAGTCCTGACAGAAGGACTGAGAAATGAGCAGGCACCAGAGGCTTCTCTCGCTGCTGCCTCCCTCTTCTTCCAGACCCATTCTGATTTCACACCTCTAAGAGGTCGAATGATGAAATAAATGGGCCTGGTCCTTTGCCTGAGGTATTATTGGGCTTATTGCACCCGGCAGGCAATGCCATTGGAAGAAAGATGAGATCAGGAAAACATGCAAGGAAGTCCTCCGACGGGCCTCAAAGAGTTCAAACAAAGCAAGATAGAGCTTTTTGAAGGGGTAGGGAGAAGCTGAGGAAAAATTAAAAATCATCACAATTAGAAACCAGTGCCTCAGTCTCACTGGTGTGATGCTACAGAATAAGCAGTTGCTTCCAGTATGTATGTCTTTCTCTACATGCTCTGTGACTGTCGCCAAATGGAAAACACCTGCATTGCTTAAACAGCCTGTCGTGTGCTTACTTTCTCAGGATCTAATGCCCAACCATCAGTCTCCATCTTCCCGCCATCTTCGGATCAGCTGCAGACAGGAAGCGCCTCCATGGTGTGCTTGTTAAATAAGTTCTACCCCAGAGAGGTCGAGGTGAAGTGGAAGGCAGATGGCGTCCTTCAGACAGGCGACATCAAGAACAGCTACACGGAGCAGGACAACAAGGACAGCACCTACAGTCTCAGTAGTGTGCTGACATTACCTATAAGCACTTACAACAGCCATAATGCCTACTCCTGCGAGGTCACGCACAAGACGCTGTCCTCCCCCCACGTGGAGAGCTTCCGTAAGAACGAGTGTTAGGGCGAGAGAGGATGGCTGAGGCACCGATGGCTGGTCCTCAGGCCTGGTCTCACTCTCTCCCTCCCTTAAGCCTAGCCCTTGCCCCTAAGACACCTAGCCTGATTTCAGTCTCCCAGTCAGCCCCTTCACACTGTACCCTCTTCCACCACTCCTTGGATCTCTTCCTACCAATATTTGTGGAAAAAGAAAACGAATAAAAATGGAAATGGCTTGCACCTGTGGTTTCTCTCTCCTTGCTGATTTCAGTGATTGTGCTACCTTGCTTTTCAGAGGACTCTGTTTCTCTTCTAAGGAGCGACTCGGTCACCCTAACATGGACTACTTTTTATAGCAAGCATCCTCCATGCCACCCTACCATCCTAAGACACCCCTGCCCCAAACCCAGACACTCCCTGTCTTCCCAGCCTCACTCCCCTGCCCTTGCCTTCCCCTCTCCAGCGACCCTCGGCGGCTTTCCATGGTGGACAGACCCTACAGTCACACATCCTGTGATCCTCTCACCCATCCTGTGAAGGTCCCCACACTAAGTTTTCCAAAGAAGGAAGAAGGCATAGAGTCATTCATTGCAACACGATATAAAACAAATACGAAATAAATTAAATTACCTAAATTATGGAGCAGTAGAGAAAGGATTACATCCTTTATAGTACTTCGACATGTGGTCTATTAAGCCCGCATTATATTTCTAAACATGGGTTCAAGGCGTCCTGTCTACCAAGGACCAAATGAAACAGTTTATATAACCACATTTAATCTTCCACTGTGAAATTGAGAGTCCATTAAAATGTTGGGCGGGTTTTTTTAACTGTTTGTATTCTAGAACCAGCAATTCCACTCTGACGTGGTTGAGAGCCCACCAAAAAACATGTGGGAATGTTCAGAACATCTTCAACACAGAAGGCAACAACTAACTAAAACATGCACTAATATGTAATGGAGAATTAGGCGCTTTGGTGGGGCCCTGGTTACACCTGGGGCTGCAAGCCGCATGGTGGGGAGTTGGACACCACCAGCGGCTCCGTGGGAGAAAGACTGGGCTCTCTAGTAAGCGGCTGCAGTCGCAGAGCCCCATAGAGCTTGCTATGGGTCAGTATTGATCCCATGGCAGTGAGATTGGGTTTTTTAATGGATAATTACGTTGTGATACATTTACACATTGGAATATTCTCCAATTAGGAGAAATACATTACAACCAAATCCAACAGCATGGCTAAATCTCATAACCATGGTCCTAAGCAAAATAAAGGAGCCCTGGTGGCGTAGTGGGCTATGCTTCGGGTTGCAAGGTTAGCAATCGCAAACCACCAGCTGATCAGAGGGAGAAACCTTGAAGCTGTCTACTCCCATACAGATTTACAGTCTCACAAGCCCCCAGGGGCAGTTCGACTCAGGCCTATGCGTCAAACTTGATTTGATGGCTGAGTTTGGAGTTTGAAGCAAAATAAACCAAATTCAAAAAGTACATTATGCTTTCATCCACAAAAGGTTGAAAACAAGATAAGACATAAGAAATTGGGCTGTGGACAGAGAAAGTCCAAAATCCATTTGCTGTGTCCCCACTTAGAGTAAGCCTCTGGCGAATCCCCTCTGACCCTTGATCAGGGCTGTGAAGAGCTTTATTAGCAGTCGGACTGCGTTGGAAAGGAGATGAATGTAGGTAGAGCTAAAATTAATATTCTTCACCCTCTCCACACTATCTCATATGTTCTCCATGTTAACCCATTTTATATTTGTTCCACTTTTTTATTTTTTTTCTTTATTTTTTTTTTTAACATTTTATTAGGGGCTCATACAACTGTCATCCCAATCCACACACACATCAATTGTGTAAAGCGCATTTGTACATCATTTCTCAAAACATTTTCTCTCCATTTAAACCCCCGACATTAGGTCCTCCCACTTTTTTATTATTTTCAGTTATCTTTTCAACTGAGAATTCTATGTGTTGTTGTTGTTGTTGTTGTTGAGCTTTTTGTTTGCTTGCGTTTCCCCTTGTGTTGGTATGTTTTTCTTTATCAGCAATCCAGGCTAGGTGACGCTAGAGAGACTGACTGAATCATAAGTTTCTTGGGGTTATGGAAGGAGATGTAGGGGGGAAATTGGAAGCTAATAATAATGAGTAAAAGAAAGAAGAAAATTTCAAACATTAATTGTGTTCATGCTTGCACAACTCTTAATATGTTTGAACTATTGAGTTATATGGTATGTGAACTTATGTCAATAAAACTGCTATCATTTTCTTTAAAAGAGAGCGTTCATGATAAAACATTGAATGGATGCATGTATTTTGAATGGATTCTTTGCTCAACGTACCAATTGAACAAGTAGAGTGAAAGTCTTCAACACTGGTGCATACTTCTGCTGCAGGTGCTATCACCTCGCTCTGTTTAAAGACCTCTTGATGGATGTATAGATTCCAAATGAACACAAGTAAGTGTTCTGGAATTTCTCTCTTTTTTTAATCATTTTATTGGGGACTCATACAACTCTTATCACAATCCATACATGCATCCATTGTGTCAAGCACATTTGTACATTTGTTGCCATCATCATTCTCAAAACATTTGCTTTCTACTGGAGCCCTTAATATCAGCTCCTCATTTTCACCCTCCCTCCCCACTCACCTTTCCCGCATGAACTCTTCATAATTCATATATTATTATTATCTTGTCATATCTTTTACTGTCTGACGTCTCCCTTCACTCACTTTCCTGTTGTCCATCCCCCCAGGGAGGAGGTTATATGTAGATCCTTGTGATCGGTTCCCCCTTTCTACCCCACCTTCCCTCCACCCTACAGGTATTGCCACTTTTACCACTGGTCCTGAAGGGGTCATCTGTCCTGGATTCCCTGTGTTTCCAGTTCCTATCTGTACCAAGTGTACATCCTCTGGTCTAGCCAGATTTGTAAGGTAGAATTGGGATCATGATAGTGGGGGGAGGAAGCATTTAAGAAGTAGAGGAAAGTTGTATGTTTCATCATTGCTACCCTGTACCCTGACTGGCTCATCTCCTCCCGACAACCCTTCAGTAAGGGGGTGTCCAGTTATATACAGATGGGCGTTGGGTCTCCACTCTACATTCACCTTGTGTTCTGGAATTTCTATTCTTCCGAATGCTATCCAGAATCCTTTAATATAGCAACTCGAGGCTTGAATATTTTCTTCACTTCTTTCAGCTTGAAATCCAGTAAACATGTTCTTCCTTCTTGGTTTTCTAACTCCAGGTCTTCTTACATCTTATTATAATTTTTGTCTTCTTGAGCTTTAGGAAATTTCAGCTCTCTTATCACACAATTTCTTCCATACACTTTAGTTGCCCTACATTCAGTAGCAAGTTTCAGTCTCTTCTGACATCCACTTTTATCTTTCCTTTCTTTCCTGTCTCTTTAATGACCTTTTGCTTTCTTCTTATATGGTATTCTTGTCTTTGGTCACTAGTGTTCAACGCATAAAATCTGTTGTAAAGATCTTCTTTAAATTCACATGGTATATAAATGCAAGGTCATAGTTGGGCTCTTATGAACTTGATTTAATTTTCTTCAGATTCGACATGAACTTTTTTACGTGCAATTGATGCTCCATAGTAAGACCCTACCTTATTTTGGCTGATGGTATTGAGTTTGTCCATTGTCTCTTCCCACAGGTGCAGTAAAGTACTCCTGTGTATGCAATCTAGTGAGGCCCACATGCGAGTGCATCACTGTTCATGTTGCTGGAAATTTGCAGTGAAGGTATTTGTAATGAAGAAGTAATTGATTTCCCAATTACTACCATCCTATCCGAGCTTGACTGTAAATACTTGCTCACAGAAGGCTATGGATGGCAGTGGATGACAGTGGAAGCCCATAATCCGTTTGGATGAAGCCTCCAGTGAATCCCCCGTGGACACAGTCCAGGGATGTGAAGAGGCTTGCTACCAGACATGGAGCCTTGTAAACTTGATTATGGAAGATGTATGGGTTGTTGTTGTTGTTGTTGTTGTTGTTATGTGCCACCGAGTCAGCTTCGACCCACAGTGACCCTGTGCACAAAACAAAGCCCTGCATGACCTGGTGCCACCCTCACAAATGTTCCTATGCCTGAGCACACGGATGCAGACACGTGTCAATTCACTCATTGAGGGCCTGCCTCGTTTTTAACACTCCTCCACTTTGCCAAACATGATGTCCTTCTCCACGACTGGTCTGACAATATGTTCAAAGTGCATAAAACGAAGTCTTGCCACCTTTGCCACTGAAGAGCACGCTGGCCTTACTTCTTCTAGTACAGATTGGTTTGTCCTTTTAGTGGTCCTTGGTACTTTGAATATTCTTCACCAGCACCACAATTCAAATGCATCGATTCTTCTATGGTCTTTCCTAGGCAATGTCCAACTTTCACATGCATATGAGACAATAGAGATTGCCATGGCTTGGGCCAGGCACACTCAGTCCTCAAAGTAACATCCTTGCTCTTCAGCGCTCTAAAGAGGTCTTGTGCAGCAGCCTACTGCAATATGCCTTTTGATCTCTTGACTGCTGCTTCCATGAGCATTGGCTGTGGATTCAAGTAAGACAAAATCCTTAGTAACTTCAACCTTTTCTCCATTTATCATGATACCTATTGGTCCAGGTATGAGGATTTTGGGTCTTCCTTACATTGAGTTGAAATCCATACTGAAGGCTACAATCTTTTATCTTTGTCAAAAATGCTTCAAATCCTCCTCACTTTCAGCAAGCAAGATTGTGCCATCTGCATAAGCCTTGTTAATAACCCTTCTTCCAATGCTGATGCTGCATTCTTCGTCGCCTCATCCAGCTTCTCTGGTGATTTGCTCTGCATGTTGATTGAGCAAGTATGGTGAGAGAATACAACGCTGACACACACCTTTCCAGATTTTAGACACGCAGTGTTCCCTTGTTCTTTTCGCACAACTGCCTCTTGATCTGTGTACAAGCTCCGAAGGAGCACAATGAAGTGTTCCCATTCTTCCCATTCTACTCAAGGTTATCCACAGTTTATTATAATCCACATAGTTGGATGCCTTTGCATAATCAACAAAACACAAGTAAGCAGCTTTCTAATATTCACTGCTTTAAGCCAAGATCCATCTGACATCAGCAATGATATCCCTTGTTCCTCATCCTCTTCTGAATCAGGCCTGAACTTCTGGCAGTTTCCTGTCAGTGAGCTGTTGCAACCATTGTTGGATCTTAAGTAAAC